CATATATGAAATAGCAATCGGTTCAGATGTGTTCAGAGGAGAGATCCAGAAGTGTTACCATCTCGGAACGAGGTTCATTATTGATTCACATATGACATTTCATATATGACTGGTATAAACATCAAAACACCACCTCAACAATAATGTTATATTAATAATATCTAGACACAACTTTCATAAAATATACTGAGAAAGATGATAAAATTATAAAATTGTAAAAACTATAAATAATTGTAATTTGAGTTTAAAAGTTTATAATTTACACCTGATGACGGTTTGATAAACCGAAACATGTTGTGAATGTTCCGATGTAAATCGAATGCTCGATATGGAACATAAGATGATATTTTAATCATTTTAATTATCTTAACTTACTATTTTATTGTGATTTGACAGTAAACAAATATAATAATTATTTTAATTAATATCACAATATGACGCAGCTATACTATCTCATAAAGGAGTTTTTGGACTATCACTATCCAGATTGACAAGACAGAAGAAAACAGATTATATCTGTGGCCTCAGCGATCACCCAACCTCATGCTTGCCGACTTCTGTCTGTGAGGCCATAAACGGATGTAATGTACTCAACAAAAGAGTTAACATGCAAGACAAGCTCTAGCATTTGATTTATAGAGCCATTGCAACATGACACAAGCCTGGAATTTATTAGCATCAAAAGGCTCAGTTATGCATTCAAAGAAATGGGGAGTGTAAGCTTTTGTGAACATTACGATGCTATTATGTTGGAGCCTAACAATTAAACATGCTCCTAACATAATGCTACTTAACTCCTTTGTGTTCCTAACAATTTCTGTTCTCACTAACAAAGCGGTCGTGATCCTGTTTTTAGGAACTTCCGACTTAATTTTAGGAATAAAACACGATCTTTAAATTTACTGCATGCAATTAAGAATCACTCTGTATAAATATTGCAAGGCATGGCGAGTTTTCAAAAACATTGGAAAACAAAGCAACTTGAGTGGGTTATGACTATCAATGACATATCCTGGGTGTGAAGTAAGATGTGTACAGGATGGGGAGTGTAGATGGAAGTCAATAAAAATCGGTTAGGTGTTTTAAACAATTTATCAAAGCAAAAGAATTTACTTGAAGGACTAGTTTTATTATTTGTTTCAACTTCTTGGCTGTGTGCTGCATTTAACACATCCAGAATACACAATTTAAATCCTATAATTTCCATATAATATAAAAATATCAGCTTCAGTCAGTCATCTTATCACTGAGTGAACATAATTTTCTGCAGTAAGCGTGAAATGATAAAACATTTGAAACTTTCATGACAACTAGAAGTGATAAAATCTTGTTTGTGTCATTGGCCATGTCAATTCAGAGCAGAACTGCCAGATGTCCGCTGTAAATTGATGCTGCTCATCTCAAAAGGATATTATCACTGAATATAATCATGAAAGAACTGCTCAGAGATATATTAGCAACCGTTTCCATGGTTTATTAGCAATGATCTATAACAACCACTGTTTCATATATTCTGTACACGCATATAATATCAAAGAACTACTAAAACACCCACTTCTGTGCCCAAGTTTGGTTGTTTATTACTGCTTTGACCATACTCTCATATCTGATCTAGGATTGATAGTAACATGTCATGAGACGTCTTCTAAAAAAAACTTTTGAGCATGCAGTTTTCTCTTCTGTCATCAGATGGTGCATGCAGTTAGTTACCTTTTGCAATTCCTTTAAATAGCCTGCCATTTATCTTTACCATGTAATACTGAAATCCATTAAAGCACTGAATTAAGCCAGCAGTGGAATTCTTAGCAGTAAATGTGTTAGTATTACTAGTACTTTAGTAATGCCACAGTCAGTGCACCAACACTTTTATCACTTCTAAGATCTAACAAACTACCAAAACTAGAACCTGTCAGGTCTGCAGGTGGTTCAGTGGCAAACAACATACAGCCGAGAGTCTTCGGTTTGAAGCGCGGTTCACCATACTATAGGCCTGAACATTATTAGTCAGTATTTAACTGTTACTGTCTGCCACATCAACAAAGTTCATCGCAAAGCATCACTATCCCTTTTCTGTATTCTGTACATGTCCAGTACCACAGAAATTATGTTTCTGCCTGCGTACAGAAGTGACGCATGTTGCAGTTGCCACGGTCTGTTCCAATTCTCATCTTCATTTTACAAATTTGGAACAACTGTGACTTTCTATGACCTAAAGTGTCATAAAATAAATATGTGGAACAGAAAAACAAAATTATGATATTAAAAATATAACTATAACTTGTCGTGCCTCATTCACCTAAACTGAGTCCTGGCTTTTGCCCGACAATTCAAGGTTTGTGTGAAAAAATTCTGTATGAAAGCTATCAATGTATTTAATCAGAAGACCTGAACATGTAAAGAATCACTGCCACATTTTGTTCCTTGTCTCTTAATTAAGAACAATACAACAATCAATGCAGTGTGTGTGTCATGACCTGCAACAAATTCAATACGGCCCACATTTGTTGTTGGAGTCATTACACATGACGAAATCTGGATTCATGAGTGCGATCTGGAAAGAAAACAGCAGTTATCAGAAAGGACACCACAGCCGCAACATCGAAGGAAGATCAAACTTGTTTATCAAGCGATACAAAACATGCTGGACATGCAAATCGGGCAGTGCATCACAATTCATCCCCATAATCCAAACTTATAGTCAGCAGTACGTCCTGTGCCTCTATGGATAAATGTCTGCCATAAATGTCAAGAGACAGATGAAATGGAGATCGGTTGGTTCACTGAGACAATGTATCAGCCCACAGCACCAATGGTCTGTGGGTAAGAACAAAATGGCTGCAGTCAATCATGCCTCTGAATATTCAGATCTTTGACGGCTGTCTTCTGAGTTATAGTGCCATGAAGTCAGGCAAACGTTTACCAGTGTTTCAGAGGTCCTTGCTACTTCCATCATCAAAGTGACCATTGCCCTGACGAACTTCTACCGGACTACATGGCGCTACAACCCAGAAGGCAGCCATCTTTGGATTCACTGTCATGAAAACCTCAAATCCTATTCGCGTCTTGTTTACTGCAACTTATAGTCTTTATAAGAAACTGAAGTAGAAAGGGGAGATATTAATAACAACTAAATCCCCTAAGAGAAGAGACTGAGGCTGTCTGAGAACAGGGCACTGATGAGAGAAGATTAATCTAAGACACAGGAAGCATCAGGGCAGTGAAAGACGAATCAGAACCTTAATAATCTTCGCTGTTCACTAGTAATTAGAATGAATAAACCAATGATGAGATGGGCAGGGCACATAGCATGCAGAGCTGAGATGCACAATGCCTGCAAATTTTAGTCATAAAACATGAAAGGGAAGAGAACACTCGGGAAACCTAGGGACAGATGGGAGGATAACATTAAAATGGACCATGAAGAAACAGTGTGTGAGGGCACAGATTGGATTAATCTGGCTCAGGATGGGAGTCCAGTAGTGGGTAATAAAATTCGAAGATTCCATACAAGGCAAGAAAATTTCTTGACCAGTTGAGTGACTATCAGCTTCACAAGAACTCTGTCTAAAGCTAACATGAAGAGTTTCTGATATGTTGTAAATAAAGTATCAGAACAAATAGGTCAAGAAGTTCATTAGTATTTATTTTCTTACTGTTAAGTATAAGAAAAATTGTTATGTCCTCTTTATACCTGAAAACTGTTTGTACTTATGTCTGGTTCCATGAGTACTTTTCATGACAGAAAGGATTATATGTCTCCCCCCCCCACACACACACACAAATACTACTATTACTACTACAATCTGAACTGCGCAATATGTGAATAAATGTACACTTAAAATTTATTTTACTCAAAGTGTTTAAAGTGTAGTTAAAATGAGATGCTTCAACAAAATGACACTGTACAAAACAATTACTTTTATTTCCTTGTAGTTTATTTCATGACTCATTCAGTAGCTTAAGCTGCCCATCCATGTACGAGTCTGGCTTGCAAGTCCGGCTCGGCTCGAGTTCCATTGAGCCAAACTTGTTTGTGGGTGGGGTGTCACGAGCCTAGTCTGCTATTCACGTGTGGTGAAATATATCCGAGCCCAGCTCTTGAGTCAAGCTCGCCGAGCCAGACTCGTACGTGGATGGGCAGCTTTAGACTAAATGGAAAATGGGAGTATGATATTAATTGATGAACTTGAAGGAAGAAATCTACGCTTAACTTAAAGCACTGTGGCAGCATTTGCCCCAAGGGTTTGAGGGTAACCACGAAAAAGTCAGTCAGGATTGCCAGTCCCCAGATCAAGACTCAATCCCAGGACCTCCTGAATACCATTCGATGCTGTCTGTACAAAGTAGTTCCGAAATTCTTGTACTTACGCAGTGTCTTTAATTATCCGAGTAATTATGGCATACTCTTCTCACTGAGGGAGGGCAAAATATGCCGGTCATGATATTCACCTGCAGTACAGTATAATATGCTCTTATCCTCATAACTGGTCCTTTATTTTTCATTTACCTAACTTTTATTCTGTTTCATTTGGTTCATTTTAACAACATTGTTGCTCGTTCAGATATGCTGCATCAACTGATAGGACCAGTGAACAATGAAATGGAAAGACTGAGGTAGCAGTTGTGGCCTTACTGTACCATACCAGAATATGGTGTAGCGGACAGAGGAAAATGATAACCTCAGTCATGACTCAGACTTTTACCTGGGACCTCCCAAATCAAAGATGGGAGTGTTAATCACTCATGTGCATGTTTGGTTTGGAAACTGCTCCATTTAAACTTTCTCCATGCATAATTATCTGAACTATTTTGTAAACTCTGTGCAATAAAAAATTAAGCACTTAAAATTTTCTGCGATCTAAACTGGAAATGATGTAAGCTGGTGTCATAAATTCAATCGTTCATAGTTTCCTTGGATTATCCATAAGTGGCTTTCCTCTGCCTTCTGTTGATTATAATTACAGATTAAGCAAAACTACCAGCATATATGCCTAATTTGAAGAGAAATAAGAATTAATGTTAATGAATTTTCCAAGATGTGAGACTAGGTTCCATAACAAAACAAAAGAAAAATTATACATCACTTCAACATCCACATTCAATGCTAGACAAATGGTTAGCATAGCAGATTACTGTTACGTGAGAGCCCAATATGTAAGTTCAAGTGACGGTAGCAGGATGTTTCTTTAATGATGTATTTGAAAAAATAAATTCAGATTGTGGTTGTATATTATTCAACAATATGTTTCAAAATTTCCATTTGGAACTCAAACCAAGCGTAACAAAATAAACTGTGATATTCAAAAGAGAATGGATAATTATTGTTTGGCTGTAAACCATAAACAGTCCAGTAACTTTTGTTGACAAGTTAAAAGAAATCATTAGTATTATCACCCACAATATCACTCCATTATTTGTGTTGCACTGGGAAGGCTGGAAGTGCAAAGAAAACAAGTATTTCTTATATTTGTTCACAAATTTTTGAAGATTTTTCTACTACAGATAAATCCATAAGTTTATAGTCAACTATTGCAACAGTTTACATAATCTTTTCAATTAACTTCTGTGGAAAATTTGTATGAAAGAACCCAAAATCGGTGTTGTCAATTTTCAGTTTAAAAAGGAAATGACTCAAAAAGTAATTTATTTTAAATGCAACGATTCACAGAATAGTGATATCAAAAGAGATAAGTGTTACATTTTAGTGCAGTGTGAAAAAATGGCAAGTGTCATAAATTGTGATTACAGCGAAAAATTGGTCAACTAAAGACAATTCTTATTCTCATCTCAATTGTCAAAATTCTACTAACTTCTCATCTTCAACTGAAAAACCGATGCGCTCAAATACCTAGTACAACCACAGCTGCAGAAAATCTATTTCAACAGAGACCAATTTTAATGAAAACAATAAAATAATTTAGGTCTTAGATCTGTATAAACACAGGAAGAGCAAACAGCCTATATTACTCACCTTGAACTGTGGTACAGAGCGGAGAACATACGTTACGGATGTTGAGCTTGTCCATTAATTCGCTGCTTTCGGTGTCGTTCCATGTTGCACGCCAATTCCCACGATTCCCTCGACAGAATCAGTTCACCTTGACTCAGCGACACCAACCTTAAAAGAAGGGCATCATGTTGAATTTTTCTACGATTATAAAATGTGAATTATTTAATAACTCCCAATAATTACAATAAAAATTAAAGATTTTGGTGTGTTTAAGTAATTTCTACTTACATATTCTTAAAATTTAAAATATATTTCTTCCAGGGCCAGCAAAATGGTATATGGCATCCCAGGCAAGCCCTAAAACTTAACCTTCCACCAACAACAATTAAGTTTTGAAAATGCACACTGTGCATTAATATCAACAAAGATTCTGTGTATATAATGTGATTAGTTTTCATGGTAAAGGAGTATTATATTATCTTACCAAATGAACACTGTCATCATTCTACAATTTACACAAAATGAATACTAAATGAAATATGAGATGTGAAAATTAAGTTCCCACACGTGTTGCATCTAGTAGTAAGTGAGGAATAACAAAGTAGAGGTGTGTTACAACGTGACTGTGGGCGCGTCCTGTGTCTTGGTAGAGCAAATAAGGCATTAGCAACAGAGCAGTGACAAAGTTAGACGAATAAGTGTTTTCGTCCCGTTGTAAAAATGAGTGATAGGAGGTTAGAGCAATGCATTAACACCAAGTTTTGTGTAAAGTTAGATAAAAGCATGAACCATATTCACCCAAGCTTCATGAGAAAAGGAATCTACTATAAATGTGCAAAGTGACTTTCTTTCATGTTATACAAGTCAATCTAATGATAATTAACAGCCCATTTTTCAGTCCCACTTCAGTGAATAAGAGGTAATTTTTATACAAAGTAAGGCCTCGTCATTTATGTATAACAGGTAGAATGCAATTTCTTTATTCTTCCTGAATCTCCACAAAATCACTCTTTCAATGTTTCAAATTTTAAGAGATGAATTCTCACTGGCAAGCGATCAGATATAAATGCTATTTTCAGTGTGGTGTCTGTATATTGCAGTCATTATGTCCACTATTTCAAAGGCTTTTAACATAAGAAATATACCTTCAATACTTATCTTACGATAAAGAAGAGAAAATTACAAGGAGTATAAATATTATCTACGTAAATCCAGAGATAACCTCACCTGGCAAGAACCAGTAGTAGATGCAAATCAGAGGCTGAAGTTTTTGTTTCATTTTCTCTTCTCAGCCTTACGAAGTCATCTTGTATGATCTGTACAAAGGAACAGACATTGTAGCACCAGATAGTACTCCTCTATAGGATTATGTAAGTAAAACCTTGGTGTAACAAAAATATTTTACACCTAGTGCAAAAGTACACTTATAGAAAAATATTTCATAACAACAAATATTGATACAATGAAATCAGTGTAATGCAAACTGTACAGTTTAACAAAATTTTTAAAAGTATTATTTGGAAAATGTTAATCTTTCCCAAGCAAATCCAGCACTACCAATACAAGTGATGTAACAGAATTAATAAATACTGCTCTTTCTTTCAAATAATTTCTTGAACATGTAATAAATGTTACAAGCATACAAATCTATACATGTATTGTAGTTCAGATGCAGATTTAGTGAACTATAAAACAACAAACTACAGTGAAACCTCGATGCATCGTTTTCAGCGGGGGTGGGAAATAAAAACGATGAATGCGGGAAAACGATAGATGCGGGAAAGCATTAAAAATTTAAAAAAAAACAATGTTTCTCTTTCAAAGTTACTTCTTTTTACCAAAAAAGTCTTTAATGGACAACTGGTGTGTCGAAACTTTACGTTTTAGGCCAAACAGAGCCCTTTCCACGTTCAAAATG